GTCTGTACCAAGGCCAAACATTCCAGGGGATGTAAACGTTTGATCATGGCCATTTGGGTGATTTCTGTTATCATTATGATTTAAAAAGGAGCCAAACAACTATTTGATCATAAATGGCTTCATATGATCATCATCCTTCAATAAAAGAGCATTTTTTTGGCATGATCAGTCATATTTTCAATATCAGTGCCACAATTTCACAATATCTGCCAGGGTATGCAAACTTTTGAGCACAACTGTATATAGGAATGTGATGCCCAATGACCACCACCTGCACCAACAAATTGTAATGATGCTGGTTGGTTAACTGGCTCCTGCATAAATCACCCTAGTATGTGTATATATGAATGTGAGTTAGAGATCTGAAATTGTGAGCCTATTGAAGGCAGGGACTGAGGTAAATGTACAATATATGTAAAGTTCTGCATAAATTGTTGGCGCTCTCTAAATACCTGTAATAAATAGATAAGCATGCAGATAATGGAGTTAATTTACCATAGAAGTAAAGCTGTTTACTTAGCAGAGTGAATTTTAATAAACAAGGTAAACACGTGTTCACTTTGAATACCCAACCATGTGAGAAATTAAAAAAAGAAGGGAAGATGATTGGGTTTTCAAGGTTGACACAGTTTCACCTTGTTTAAAAACAATCACTTAACCAATTGAACACACATTTGCTAAGTGAACAGCCCTTTACTCCCTATAGCCAAACTGAAGGCTAAATTCCTATTTTTCAAAATATATACAAGATATTATCTGATTTCAATGTTGCCCAGGTTTACTCAACCTAGAAGACTGAGCAAAGGCTGTAGGTGCAGGACATCATGACTCCACCCCCACAAGGGTGCCACCAAGTACTGGTGCAGAGATCTGAGCAGACACCATCACCTAGTGTTGCTGTCTGCATCATTTTGGACCACCAAGCCTTGATATAAGAGGTGAAGCTGAACCTTCAGTGTCACATGACTGGTTTGAAGATTTCAGAAAAGATCAGTATTAAAATATGAACAAACAAAAGCATATAATATTGCCAGGGGGGCCACAGGGGAGGTGTGTGGGGGGTTAAGCCCAGAGTTTAGCTTTAATTCATATCAACACTACTGACCCTTGACTTTCTCTGACAGTCATGATTAGCATACTTATTCCAGGTGTGATAGATATTTTGGACCTACATTTTTAACATAATGGTGAACTTTTGATAGGGGTCTAAGTCTCAGTTCCTGCAAGTTGCCTAAACTGCAATTTCTAAGTGGACATTGACTGTATATACAATTTACCATCCATTTCATCACCTCAACACCCCCCACCCTTTGAATGTTTTCTGTAGAGGTTTATAGCAGTATGGCCACCTGGCTGATGTAAGTAAATAAGCCCTGGAGTCCTCATTTCTAACATCTCCTAGGGAGTAATGTCATAGATCTTCCTGCGGGAACTGAATTCAAAGGAGGTATGCTCAGCTGGACATTGGCATATCATAAATTCCATCTGATGAGCTACAATTGGCCAATATCTTTCACAAGTCACAGAGCCCCCCTATGGAACAGAAATAGCAAAATACTGGAATTTATTGAAGGGTGTGACTATACCTGGAGGGTATAAAAATAAGACATTGCTCTCTCTCTCCCTCTTTTGAAGCCCAGTCATCAGGATGTCTGTGTAACATATTATTCTGTTTCTTTTCTGTAACTTTCTTTCCTGTAGTTGTCTCTATGTATTGGTAACATTCTGTATTTGTATAGTAACATTACTACTATGGCCGAATGGTGGGCGGCAAATGTCATCAGCGTTCCGGGTGGACGCCATATGGCGTCCTCCCGCATATGCGCAGATTGCGCTCCTGCAGAGCAGCGCAGCGGCGCGATCTGTTATTGGCCGTGTACCTTGGACACGGCAGATGACAGATCTGAGTATCGGCCCCGTTGCCAGTACCATGTGACCTGCTGTGACCAATCACAGCAGGTCACATGACAGTTGTATACAATGGATGGCTTCATTCATGCCATCCATTGTATACTACTGCCTAGCTGTGAATGGTTACAGCTAATCACATGCACACGTCATGTGATTAGCTGTGGCCAAATCACAGCTAAGCACAAAAAAAAAAAAAAAAAAAAAAAAAAAAAGCCCTGAATGAATCGATGTCATTCAGGCAAATGCTTGCTTATAGCAAAGTAATTCTTTGCTATAAGCAAATTGTGTAAAAAAAAAAATACTGATCACTTCCCCAAAGTAGTACAATGTTACTATGGTAACATTGTACTACTTTGGTCATAGTGAAATATGAAAAAAAAATCTTAAAAAAAAAAAAAAAAAAGTAATAAAAAATAATAATAATAAAAAAAAATTTAAAAAACAAATATATATATATTTTTTTTCATACTGTCACCAGTCAGTGTCCCTGATCACCGCCATGCCAGTTATATGATGACACTGTACTGCACTGGTGACAATATGTAAAAATAAAATAGTGAAACTAATTTTTTTAATTTTTTCATTTTCTGAAAAATTATGACAAAAAAAATACAACTTCAAAAACTTGCCATGCCTCTTATGAAGTACGTCAGACTGTCTACTTTGCAAAAAGGGGTCATTTGGGGGATATCTGTACTGTTCTGACATTCATGGACCTCAAGAAATTAGATTGGCTGTCAGTACTTCAGGATTGATCAATATTCAGATCTATACCATAGTTTGTGAACTCTATAACTTTCCTACAATCTAAAAAATACATCTTAATTTGGGTTATTTTCACCAAAGACATGTAGCAGAATACATCTCGGCCTAAATTTATGAAGAACAATTATTTATTTGCAAACTTTTATAACAGAAACAAAGAAAACATTTTTGGTCTTTTTTTTGTTAATTTAGCAAAAAATAAAAAACCCCAGTGGTGATTAAATACCACCAAAAGAAATCTCTAGTTGTGTGAAGAAAATGATAAAATTTTTAGTTTGGGTACAATGTTGTATGACCGCGCAATTGTCATTCAAAGTGTGAGAGCGCTGAAACCTGAAAACTGGCCTGGGCAGGAAGGTGTAAAATTGCCCGGTATTGAATTGGTTAAAGTTATACCGGCTACATTATATTTTGTTATAATTGATTAATAGCAAACTTCTTTTCTGTGAAAATAAATTAGATCTTTATTTTTGCAGAGTTGTTTTCATTTGGTATTAACTTTATTGGTAATAGCCACATCACGATTGGCTAGATTCATGTATAGACAAAAGGTTGTAATCACTTATTATATGTATCATCAAGTGAATAAGTGAGGTAGCAAAGTTGCCAAAACACCGGTCAGTGCATCTAGTGGGGTGGCATAAAATCCAGGCAGCTTGTATTTTCTGAAAATGTCATCAATGTCAGCTCTCATACATTTCCTATGCCATGTTTCCTTGAATACCATTTAATGGCATTAAAGCTGAACTTAAAGAAAATATTGTCTAAATATAGTGCTACCCCTGAAGAGACCACTGGTAAATTGGGTTCTCTGACCTTTGCCACCCACTGCTCTACTGACACATCTTGTCTTTGTTTCTATCCTTTGGACAAGAGCTTGAGCACACACACACATTTCAAGACTTTGTATCTAGCAAAGACACACAATAGGAATGGAATAAATGACCTGGCTGGTAATTATTTAGCAAAGTGGACATCTACCAAATGCTAGCATAGTCATCTATCATTACCCAAATGAGTACCCTGGATGAGCTATAGTCACCATAGTACATACAATGTATAAGTAGTAGTTAATGATGTAGTAGCTCCAAATCAGCATAAGCAGCAGCAACATGGCCCTGAATACCTGGCAGGCAATGGGAGATCTTTTTAGAAAGTGAAAGACTATATTGCCCACAAGATCGTATGGTGGCTGTGCTAAATCTAATCTGGTTAGAAGGTTTTACTTCAAACAGAACAGCATGAACAAAAGTTGTAGTTGTCTGTAAATTGAACAAGAAGGGCAAGAAAGATTTTCACTGGCTAACACTGAGACCCAGTATTAAACCATCGGTGCATATACGATGGTGGTTGTATCCTGCAGACAGTGAAAATGCAGTATTTCTTTTTTGACTGTGCAATATACCTGGCATTAGCCAGGGGGAGGCTTAATGGGTTGTGTTGGAATTATATCCTGAAGTCGCAATATATGGAAAAGAGTATAGAGGTAAGAGCCAAACCATGTACAGATCTGTCTGCACCAGAGAAAGGAAAAACAGATAAATGTCCTGCTCACAGCTATGTATGTAGGTTGGCTGGTAGTCTGCTCACCAACTCCACTGGGTGCCAAAGATGTCTGTGATGAAGGGGGCCCCTTCCTCAAGAAAGGGTTCTGAGATGGTGGCTGTGATAGTGACAGCTTGCTTAGGAAATTCAGTGGGTCTGGAGAGTAGGTTGATCGCTAAGCTGAAGGTGAAAGTAGATGTGGTGGAATCAATGACCTCTCAGTTACTGCTCCAGTAGGTGGGCTGCATGAGAACACTTTGACCCTGGCCTGAGCACAGGTACACTGCAACAGGTCTGAACAGCTCAACTCTCACATCGCCAACATCGCAGGCTTTTCCCAGGCAACCAATATATCCTCTCCCCTGGCTCTTCCTGCTGAAGAGGCCATTGAGGTTTGTAGTCTGAGGTAGCTATCACCCCATGACATGGTTGTCATCTTGGATTACAGCTCCCATCACTACAAAAGTTTTGTATTACAGATCCTTGGGTTTTGAGTAACTTGGCTCCCCCACCCCCTCCCCTGCTGGCAGGAGGAGAATGTAGCAACAGCATAGCAACTTATTGAGGGCAGCAAGTCAGATGTATTCTAATTCAAGGTATTTGCAGGGCTGGGCCACATAAATACAAGAGGTATATGTATTCCTATTTTTATCATGGTGTTATTTATATTGCTTTCAGATCTGTGCAGTGATCCACTGTGAAACTTTCCCTCTGTACAGGAGCTTCTGGTAATATGAACAGGTCACTGTGGCTCTCCCTCTTTGTGCAAGGTGATTGGTCTTGTCTCCACCCACCCTGTAGTTTTTCTGCAGTTAGCATATCATGGGTGGGGCCTGCTGGGTTTCTACCACAGCTCTGCTCCCTGCATAAGATATGCACAGCCTAGTCATGATGTCACCACTAATAATAGAAGGTAATTATTAAAGTGTTGCTAAACCCTGCATTCACTATATCTGGTCTCCCCGGACCCTGCATTCACCATATCTGGTCTCCCCGGACCCTGCATTCACTATATCTGGTCTCCCCGGACCCTGCATTCACTATATCTGGTCTCCCCGGACCCTGCATTCACTATATCCGGTCTCCCAGGACCCTGCTATATCCGGTTCTGCATTCACTATATCTGGTCTCCCCGGACCCTGCATTCACTATATCCAGTCTCCCAGGACCCTGCATTCACCATATCCGGTCTCCCAGGACCCTGCATTCACCATATCCGGTCTCCCCGGACCCTGCATTCACCATATCCGGTCTCCCCGGACCCTGCATTCACTATATCCGGTCTCCGGACCCTGCATTCACATATCCGGTCTCCCTGGACCCTGCATTCACTATATCTGGTCTCCCCGGACCCTGCATTCACTATATCTGGTCTCCCCAGACCCTGCATTCACTATATCTGGTCTCTCACAGTACACAGAGCCCCCCCCATAGAAATTCAATTATTTTAGTAAATATAAACTGCTAAATACCTTTTCTCATCAGCAGTATATAATAGTCTTGTGACGTCTATCAATGTCCAGCAGAGCACTGGTTAAAGCTTGTAGGGGTAGTTTTCATTCTCCTCTAGGAGGATGCAGGACCCCTGACCTCTGTCTGGACAGTGTTGATTGGCCCTGTGCTGATTACATGCACTCTCCCAAGAAAAAAACAAACTCCCTAGGAATACACTCCAAACTATGCTTACCTGCTCTGTGCAATGGTTTTGCACAGAGCAGCCCCGATCCTCTTCTTTTTAGGTCCCCTGCCTGTGATCCAGGCTCTTCCCCCCTGCCAAATAATCCCAATAGCAAGTCTCTTGCTATGGGGCACCTGAGCATGTTTGCTCCTGAACCATGCTCTGTGTGTCCATTTGTCTGTGTACCAGGCTGCCCTTCACTTTCTCCTCCATGGCTCACTGGCAGCGATTGACAGCAGCTGGAGCCAATGGTTTCCACTGCTGTGCGAGCCAATGATGAGAGAGAGAAACTCCGGAGAGCTGTACACATCTTTGGATCGAGATGGGGCTCAGGTAAGAATAAGGATGGGACCAGGGGTGTGTGGAGAGGCTATCTCTAGCAATACACACCAAACTGAGGATGTACAGAGTGACTCCAAACCTCTATTCTATAAGGAGATATTGAGGGGACACTGGAAAAAGGGGAAGATCAGAGAAGAGATGATCAAACATCCTTTTTACACAATGTGGAGATCTAACCCCTTAGGTTCCACAGTGAATATAACAAGCATGCTTTACTGCATATACTGATCTTACTGTTGTGGGTTTAGTGACACTTTCAGTTTGTAGGTATTTGATGTACACAAAATATATTGCTATCCCTGGTGGCTGCTGAGGAATATACCTAATTTAACTGTTTTGTTTTGTTTTTTTAACTCTGTTCCATTGCATAACTAAATATTTTGTATATATTCAAGCAAATTGTTTAATCATAGTTTACACGTTTAAGCAAATTAGATCCAAGTGGATTGGCAGGTAGTGATTTTTTTTAAATTTTTTAAATGCATAAATATTTTTCCACGCTAAAGACAATCAAGCAATTAATTAAAATGATTACCTAGTTGATAAAATATTTTCTGCATACCAGGCAAATCTACAAGGAAATATTCAGTCAAAATAAAACCAGACAAATCAATGATTTTGCTGATTCAATCACCATCGGAATACAAGGATTTCCTCTGTGGGGGTCTGCCAGGAATAGATTTTTCAATATGGACTTTTCCTTAGAGGGAAGGAGGAAGGAATTGCTGTGGGGGTATTTGCTGTGGGAGGGGATTTTTGAAAGAAGTGATAGATACTTGCCAGGAAGGATTTTGCATGCAAATTTAAAAAAAAAGTTTCAGCTGTAAATACTTTAGACAATAATGTAACATTTATTTTGTGGATACATTGACTATGGCTTATGTGTGCTGTTTATATAGCAAATAGGTTATAGATCCAATTAACAATGCCCAGTTAAACCCTCCCCCCTGCCAGTGCCAGCTGTTCGGCACACCATAGTATGAGCACTATATAATTTGCTTCCTTATGCAGGCCATAGATGGGTCGAAAATCGGCCGATTTTTTTGGCTGAAAATACAATCGGCTGATTTTCAGATCGTTAGTGGGCTAAATGTTCGGCCGTTTTTCGGTATTTTGGCAGATTTTTTTTATCGGTAAAGTTGGAAAAAAAATCGTCCGATTTTGCCGATCAGATGATTTTCGCGGCAATGATGGGCAAATTGGCCGATCTTTTACCGATAAAAAAATCTGCGCATGAGCAGTGACCTGCAAGAGGAAGACAAAAAGAAGAAGAAGATAATGAAGAAGAAGAAGAAAAGGAAGAGGATGAAGAAGAGGATGAAGAAGAAGAGGTAGAAGGAGAAGGGGAAGAGAAGAAGAGGATGAAGAAGAAGAAGAGGATGAAGAAGAGGAAGAAGAAGAAGAAGATGAAGAAGAAGAGGAAGAAGAGGATGAAGAAGAGGATGAAGGAGAAGAGGAAGAAGAGGATGAAGAAGAAGATGAAGAAGAGGATGACGAAGAAGAAGAATAGGATGAAGAAGAAGAAGAAGAGGATGAAGAAGAAGAAGAGGATGAAGAAGAAGAGGATGAGAAGAAGAAGAAGAAGAGAGAGGATGAAGAAGAAGAAGAAGAAGGGGATGAAGAAGAAGAGGAAGATGAAGAAGAGGAAGAAGAGGATGAAGAAGAAGAAGAGGAAGAAGAAGAAGAGGATAAAGAAGCAGAAGAGGATGAAGAAGAAAAAGAGGAAGAAGAAGAAGAGGATGAAGAAGAAGAGGAATTCCAGTCCGGCAAAAAGAGTCCCTGCAGAGAGCTCCGCTATTTCTTTGACAGTTCCTTGACATTTATAGTGGTTGCAACAATGTTATCTATTTGTTTCCAAATAAAAACATCTGTATCCTAAATGGATACAAATAGATACATTGTTGCAACCGCTATAAATGTCAAGGAACTGTCAAAGAAATAGCGGAGATCTCTGCAGGGACTCTTTTTGCCGGCTGTAGACGGGATGAAAATCGGTCGATTTTTTTTTTACTGTTGCTGGCAACGTTGGCCGCTTGAACGACCGATTTTTCATTTTTTTAAAAGAAAAATCGGCCGATTTTCGACCCATCTATGGCCTGCATTAGGCTACGTTCACACTAGCCTTGTTTGCAAGCGGCAGACAGGCATTTGGGAAGCGTTTTTTTTACCATTTCCCAAACCCCTGTGAAAATTCTGCACATTGCAGCACATGGTGCCGTTCACACGAGAGCATTAGCGTCGCATTGCGTCACGTCGCGGCAAAACGGACGCCTCTGGATGAGTCAGGAGGAGTTGAAGCCTCCTATGCAAGTCTATGGTGCGGTTGCGGAGCGTTTGCAGGGAGTTTGCAGAGCGTTAACACCATTCAAACTTCATAGTAGGCATTTGTGGGGTGTTTGTAACGCTTGTCAAATGCCTAGCAACCGCCGCTAAACCGCTCATGCGGCGTTTGCGGAGCGTTAGAAAATGCTCCACAAACGCTGGACCAACGCTTGTCAAACGCTATAGGGGCATTCGGCAAGAGTTGGAAAAACAGTCAAGTGTGAACGAGCCCTTATATTACCCAAAGTGCCCCAGGTCTTCCACCATCCTTTTAATGCCTCCAGGAGCACTTAGGCTACGTTCACACTAGCGTTGTGTGCAGGCGGCAGAAAGGCGTTTGGGAAGCGTTTTTACCGCTTCCCAAACGCCTCGGACAATTATGAACATTGCTGCACATGGTGCTGTTCTAACGGGAGCGAGCGTTAGCATCGCATCGCGGAAAAACGGATGCCTCTGGTCAAGTCAGGAGGCGTTGAAGCCTACTATTTTAGTCTATGGTGCCGCTGTGTGGTTGCGACACGGCTTGCGCGGTGTTTTGCGGAGAGGTAACACCAGTCAAACTTCATTATAGGCATTTGTGGAGCGTTTTTAACGCTCAGCAATTACCTAGCAGCTGCCGCTGAACCACGCATGCAGCGTTTGTGGAGCGTTTGCCGAGCGTTAAATGGAGCAACGCTTGCCAAACGCTATAGGGGCGTTTGGCAAGAGTTGGTAAAGCAGTCAAGTGTGAACGAGCCCTTATTCTCTTAAAAAGAACCACCAGCTCTATTGTTACAGAGATCCATTTCTATGCAGGTGAAAAACACTTCCTGACATAATTCATTTTAGGTGAGTGCTCCAGCCACACCATCTGGCTCATATGATCCACTCATGTGCAGTTAATTGTGGAGTCCTGGGGCTTCATTGTAACAGCTCAATAAGTCCAATAAACCATCACATTTGGCAGCAGTGCTTGAACACATAGACACACACAGCACTGCTTTGCCCACCCCCCAGCTCCATACTAACAGGATTTGATTGACAGTAGGAGCCAATGGATCCCTCTGCTGGCTCTATGACCTGTGAGGAGAGGAACCCAGACAAACACCGCTGCAAACAGGCACAACACTGAACAGGGAGAGGACTCAGGTAATTATATAGGGAGGTGGGGGCCGTACAACTACTGGGGCATTTATACCCTAATTCATTAAAGTATACTAAACCCAGGACCCATCATTCACTATATCCAGTTTCTTAAAGCACACAGAACATGGAAATGCAATTATTTTAGTAAATATAAACTGCTAAATACCTTTTCTCATCAGCAGTATATAGCAGTCTTGTGACTTCTATCAGTGTTTGCCTGAGCACTGGTTAAAGAAGGAGTTTTCATTCTCCTCTAACTGTCCTATGAGGCTGCATGACCCCTGAACCCCTGTCTGGACAGTGCTGATTGACACTGTGATGATCAAATGCACCCTTCAAAAAAAAAAAAGAAGAAAGGAATATAAAAAAAATAAACACAGTTTCTTACACCATCCAAGTATCTAAATAAACTCAAAAGAACATTGGCTAAATACATTTCAAATTCCACCATTATATTATTCAGAGAGAGAGAGTTATAGAAATGTTTTTTTCTTCCCCACGAGCTATTAAAGCCATAAATGTGAAACTTAGGCAGGTAACCAACCAGTCAGGTTAGTGTTTTGTTATTTTAGGGGTGTTTGTTATTTTTTTTTTATAATGTTTTTTATAGATGTGTGTGATATATTGCTTATGTTTTTAAACGTTATGAGGAGTTACTTTTGAAATTTAATTGGAACTGTTGTTTGCAATGGCAATAAACCTTCTCTATCTATCTGTCTGTCTGTCCATCTATCTATCTATCTATCTATCTATCTATCTATCTATCTATCTATCTACAATATCTATTTAATCAGACACTCTGGATTTGGTTTACTAAAACTGGAGAGTGCAACTCTGCATAGAAACCAATCAGTTTCCAGTTTATTTTTTTTTGTCAAAGCTTAATTAAACAAGCTGAAGTTAGAAGCTGATTGGATACCATGCACAGCTACACCATATTTTGCATTCTCCAGTTTTAGTAAATCAGCCCCTTCATGTGATACACCCCTACCAGATGGAGAGGGACACATTATAATGTAACACCTCTAAATTAAAAATAATGTCCTAAAATATGTGGTAGAGGGGATGAGGCCCCAAAGTGAACTCAATGTGCGGTCAGCAGAGGCATCCATTAAATAATAAAGGTGCTTCCAAATAGATTCTTCAGAAAGTTTATATTTATTGATCATAAGAACAGTTTAATCATCAACATGTTTCATGGCTCTGTAGTGGCCACTCCATCAGGAAAAGGTGTACTGTGCACTGGAGGAAATACATAAAAAATATAAAATAATGTTCAGGCTAAATCCAATGGGGGAAAGAAATATATATATATATATATATATATATATAATATATATATATACGCACACAAATAAAATATAAAAAGGGGTAAAAAGATTCTTTAGAGTTTACACAACAGAAAACGTTTTTTTTTTGTTTCAGATTAGTTTGTAGTTAATGTAGTTCAAGTGTTATTAAAACCACAACAGTAAAATTAGTCCATATATGCAGTAAAGCATGCTTGTTATACTCACTGTGGAACCTAAGGGGTTAATGCTCCACAATGCTTAAAACAGCTGTTTGATCCTGCCTTATCAGATCCTCCCCTTCTTCCACAGTCTCCAATTCATCTGCTGATAGAACAGAGCCTTGGGGGAAAGCTGTACTTGCTCAATTTGGTTTGTATTGCTAGAGAGGTTTTTTTTTCTTTTTCTTGGGAGAGTACATGTGATCAGCACAGGGCCAAGCAGTACTGTGCAGACAGAGGGTCAGGGGTTATGCAGCAATCCAAGGAGAATGAAAAAACTCCTCCTACAAGCATTAACATGTGCTTCGATGGACTCTGATATAAGTTACAAGACTGCTCTAACTGCTGATGAGAAAAGGTATTTGGCAGTTGATATTTACTAAAATAATTGCATGCCCATGGCATGTGTACTGTGGGAGACCAGATATAGTGAATAAAGGATCCTGGGTTTAGTAACACTTTAATGTAGGCAGCACAGTGGCTTAATGGTTAGCACGTCCACCTGGCAGTACTAAGGTCGTTGGTTCAAATCCCAACCATGGCACCACCTTTATGGAGTTTGCATGTTCTCTCTGTCCCTGAGTGGGTTTACTCCAAAGACATGCTGGTAGGTAAATTGTATCCTGTCTAAATTTTTTCCTAGTATGTGTATGTATGAATGTCAGTTAGGGACCTTAGACTGTACACCCCTTGAGGGTTGGGAACTGATGTGAATGTACAATACACACATACATATATATATATAAGCACTGCATAAATTGACAGCACAATATAGGTACCTAAAATAAATAAATGTAGTTTTAGTTAATAATTTCATTAAGTCATATTCGTTATGCTGGGATGGTTCATTTTTTAAATGTGTTCTGTATACTTGGATTACTTCATGTCCATAAGAACTAGAATCTATAGCAATAAGTCCATGAACCGTGGTTTCCAAGAACTACATCACAGCACTGATCCTCATTGGTCTACTCCCACACCCGTACCCTCTGAGGATGGTCCATATATATATATATATATATATATATATATATATATATATATATTGTATATTACCCCCAAAGACCCCCCAGGACACATCTGCAGGGGAAATTAGTTGTGCATAACCTGACCCCCACAGCCTCAGCCAGCAATATTGAAGGTAACAGTGCACCTAAGTAAATGCAAAATGCACAGTATAAAATAACACAGAATACAGCAGAATACACACATACATTATAAACATAATCCACAATAACAGTATATACCAGGACATTCCATTTTCAATATCACATCTATCTGGATGACAGTATCACATAAAATATACAGTAAAACTATTATCACTGACACTTTTCCCATGTTCTATCACCATAGTTATCATACACTGTAAATATAGATATGCATGATTGTGGCTTCAGTCTGTGTTCTCATAATTGGATGCTAAGAGCCTGCCTAGGCTTATTTCAAAGCAGGGTGGATAAAAATCAATGATGTTTTAAAAAAAAAATAAAAAAAAATCTGATTTTTTTTATTTAAATCGGATTTTTTTTAAATAAAATGCTTTTTGAGGAAAATATATTAGCATCCAAAGGTTATTCCATCATGAAATAAAGATTAGTTTTTTAATTATGTAGAATAAGGCTGTATATGTTTAATTTTTTTGGTAAATAAATGCCATGAATCCATTCACAATGTCATGCTCTTCCAGGGGTTTTTGTAAGATTATTGGGCAGTTTCTCTGCCTACAAGATATTATCACAGATGCTCGGTTTACTTTTGCAGTTCTCAAAACTGAATTTGACTCAGCGGAGATCACATGCCTCTTCTTCACAGCAAAAATGCTATAACATGAACAGAGTTAAGAAAAAGACCTTCATCCTAACTTCTACAAACCTATGAATACAGAATCAACCCCTTCAGTGCTAAGTTTCAAGAAGTTCAGTGAATAGAAACAATATTTTTCTGATTGTTTGGAGTGGAATAGATCTGCACAAGAAGAAAGTGAAACTAAGTGTGAGGAGGAAGGGGCTGACAGTCTAAGTTTCTTAAAATATATATATTTTGTTTAGCCAAATTAGTTAACAAACATGGATGTTTGCTTAGGAAATACCATATGCTGGAATGTTATTGTTTCAGATGAATAAATCTATTTAAATTGTTATTATTAAGGTAATGATTATTTTTCTCCTTCCTAAGTACAACAGAAAAGTTGTCCAAATATGAATGATTAACCTATTAAACTGGGGATAAAAAAACTAATATGAAAAGTTGTTATTCTAAAAATCTTCATCTATTTGCATATTAAAGTTATACCAGCAAGAATTAGTCTTTATGTAGAAAACTAGGATTTAAATCAAGCCTTACTGACTAGTGATTTAAATCGTGATTTAAATCGTGATTTAAATCAGTTTGACGTTTGATTTAAATCAAATCCACCCTGTTTCAAAGTATCCAACAATGTCTATATAAGTTAATGGTGGAGAATGAACATTGTTATTTAATAAGGGAATATAGCTACTCTAAAAGCTTTGTTTAGTCAAATATGTTATTTAAAAAAATCAGCTGAAAGGGCAATACTTATGCAGGCCATAGATGGGGAGAAAAACGGCCGATTTTTCGTCCGAAAATAAAACCGGCCGATTATCTTATCGTTAGTGGACGATTTTGTTGGCCGTTTTTTTTCGTGTATTTTGGACGTTCAGATTATCGGTGATGTTGGAAAATTTTCGAAAAACACCCGACTTTATCCTCATTGATGGTCAAAAACGAACGATTGTTTTCCGAAAAAGGATCACAAAGGCCACAAAATGACATCATTTCCCGTTATAGGTTACTCATTAATCGGCCGATTTTCGTAATAATTGGTGGTCAGGTACGTTTTTTTAGACCGACCGATAGTTCGTTTATCGGCCGAAAATCTGCCGTTTTTCTCCCCATCTATGGCCTGCATTACTATCAGTGTGGAGTGTCCCTTGTGCTGATGTGCTGAGGATTGGGAGAGGATGTCCTGCATAGTTGGTTGTCTTGGTATGTGTTTTTTGCTAGGTCCTTCGGTCCCCAGCAGCCCCAGAAGATTAGGGGGATGGGGGGTGCAGAGGATGGAAATATTTCAACTAAAGCAACAGACATTAGCACCTGGGGCACTTTGTATTGATAAAAAGTACCAACCCTTGAGCTGAATTTATAAAAAAAAAAATGTTTGAGTAAACTTAGGTCCTAACGGGCAGAATTTGTGTGCAGTCCTTCAGCCTGGAGTTCTAAAATACCTAAAACTGCATTTAACCCCAAAGAAAACATTTATTATATTGCGGCTTTCCACTTCTTAGATGCGACAGCTGCATTCCTTTTCTTTGTTAGGCTTTCTTCTATTTTCACCTGGTGATCTAGTCCAAGGGTCTCCAAACTTTCTAAACACAGGGCCAGTTTACTGTTCATCAGACTTTTGGTGGGCCGGACTGTGGCCATTGGGAATAGAAATTGTCCTGGCATCAGTGGGAGTAAACAACACATCTTTGGTATTGGGGGAAGAATAGTGTCCCTTTATTGGTGTCCAGGGAGGAATACTGCACCATTATTGGTGTCAGTGAAAGGAATAGTGCTCCATCATTTGTGCCAGTGGGGAATTGAGCCCCATTATTGGTGTCAGTGGGAGGAATAGTACCCCATCATTGGTGTCAGTGGGAGGAATAGAGCCCCATCATTGGTGTCAGTGGGAGGAATAGTGCTCCATCATTGGTGTCAGTGGGAGGAATAGTGCCCCATCATTGGTGTCAGTGGGAGGAATAGTGCTCCATCATTGGTGTCAGTGGGAGGAATAGTGCACCATCATTGGTGTCAGTGGGAGGAATAGAGCCCCATCATTGGTGTCAGTGGGAGGAATAGTGCTCCATCATTGGTGTCAGTGGGAGGAATAGAGCACCATCATTGGTGTCAGTGGGAGGAATAGAGCCCCATCATTGGTATCAGTGGGGGGGGAATTGAGCCCCATTATTGGTGTCAGTGGGAGGAATAGTACCCCATCATTGGTGTCAGTGGGAGGAATAGAGCCCCATCATTGGTGTCAGTGGGAGGAATAGTGCTCCATCATTGGTGTCAGTGGGAGGAATAGAGCTCCATCATTGGTGTCAGTGGGAGGAATAGTGCCTCATCATTGGTGTCAGTGGGGGAATAGTGCCCCATCATTGGTGTCAGTAGGAGGAATAATGCCTATTATTGGTGTCAGTGGGAGGAATAGTGTCCCATCATTGGTGTCAGTGGGAGGAATAGAGCGACATGATGTGCTGATCACATGCACTCTCCCAAGAAAATTAAAAAAAAACTATCTAGCAATACACACCAAACAGAGCATGTGCAGAGTGACTCCACAAGACATGTATTATCTGGAGATAAGAGGGGACACTGGAAAAAGGGGAGGATCAGAGAAGACAGGATCAAACAGCAGTTTTACACAGGATTAACTCCTTAGGTTCCAGAGTGAGTATAATAAGCATGCTTTACTGCAAATACAGACTGATTTTACTGTTGTGGGTTTAGTAACACTTTAACAACTTCCCTCCTGGCCTATAGCAGATTGACGGTCAGGCGGGATACTCCTCCTTGTGACTGGGCTTCATATGACGTTCTGTCAAAAGGAGCCGTTCAGGTGGCCACGGGGCCACGCAGTGATGCGATCTGTCACCGGCTGTGTCCATGGGACACAGCTGATGACATATCACTACACCGGCCTGTTGCCAGTGTCACGTGACCCCTGTGACCAATCACAGCAAACCATGTTAATTGTATACAATGGATGGCTTCCTGTCATTCCATCCATTGTATTAAATTGTGTTGTTAGCTGTGATTGGTCAAAGCAGTCACATGGTATAGACAGGGCCAATCACAGCCCAACTGTATCATGAGCTTTGATCAATCACAGCTAATCACAACAAAACACTGAATTCATTCAGTAACAATGGTTACTAATAGAGATGAGCGAATCGAAGTAGGCAAAGTGGAATTCGTTTCGAATATTGGAAAATTTTCGATTTGCGCCGATTTCCTGATGTTACAAGCGGATAAAGGTACTCCCCTGTGTAACTTCGATGTCAGCCATTGGCAGCTCATGCGTGACACCTGCCGCTTGCTCAGGCCCTTTGAGGAGGCCACGCTATTCGTGAGTCGGCAGGACTATGGGATGAACGACGTCATTCCTCTGTTGCACGTCCTGGAACAAATGCTGTTAACAATGGCTGGTCAGGGTGCGGTAGACGTGGCGCACAGATCTCAATGCCACATGACCCCCTGTGGGGGCAGGACAGGAAGAAGAGGAGGAGGTAGAGGAGGACATTTGTGCTCAGGAATTATTGAGTGAAATGGGTGGTTTTTCCACTCAGCGGACAGGAGTGGAGGAGCAGGAGCATCTGGTAGAGGAGGAGGAGGAGGAGGAGACAGAGGACCCAGACGCACCGTGGCAGTATGCTGTGGAGATGGAGGCAGGGAGTCCCTCGCATTCCTTGGCACAAATGGCCCATAGCATGCTCGCTTGCTTGCGTAGCGACAGCCGAATAATAATCATCAGACAGAGGGATGACTTTTGGCTGTCCACCTTGTTGGACCCTCGCTACCGTTCAAAAATGGTGGCCTTTTTCACACCTGCTGAGAGGGAGGCCAAAATAACGTACTATAAAAACCACCTATGTAGTCAGTTGGTCTCTGCCTTTGTGCGCCAACGTCCATCCTCAGACACTGTGGGCCCTGTGCGCTCGCGTTCCGCTGCCGTGGCAGCAGGGGAGGGGTGGGGTGGTAGGAGCAGTGGCAGCTCCACCAGCAGCGGCTGCCTCAGTCTGCAGTCGATGATGAGTAGCTTTCTTCACCAGCGCAGTGAGGAAACTACTAACCAGCCGCAGCAGCAGCAGCATCAGGTGGACCTGGAGCAGGAGCTCAAACAACAGGCTTGGGCCTACTTGGACAGCACCCTGCCAACCGAGGTAGACAATCCCCTTGACTACTGGGCAATGAAACTTGACCTTTGGCCCCAACTAGCTGAATTTGCCCTTGAAAGGCTGTCATGCCCGGCCAGTAGCGTGGCATCGGAGCGCGTGTTTAGTGCGGCAGGAGGTATTGTAACTCCGTGGAGGACACGACTGTCCACCCAAAGTGTGGAGAGACACACACGTTTGTGAAAATGAATCAGGCGTGGATTAGTCTGGATTTCAAACCACCAGTTCCTGACACAACTGACTAAATCCGCCATGAATCATGCCCCAAACATGTGCCACTTTCAGGTCTCCTCACACTGCTGGTGTGTTGAATTTTTTGACATAGGGTGCTGGCAGATTACGGGCCTCCCATAGCTGCTGCCAGGCCCCTAATCTGCCATGGGCCCCTATATACCGCCTCCGCATGCTGCTGCCAGGTCCAGAGTCTCTCATGGGTCCCTGTACGGCCTCCCATTGCTGCTGTCTCCATCGCCACACTCTGCCATGTGCCACTTTCAGGTCTCCTCACACACTGCTGGTGTGTTGAATTTTTTGTCATAGGGTGCTGGCAGATTACGGGCCTCCTATAGCTGCTGCCAGGCCCCTAATCTGCCATGGGCCCCTATACCGCCTCCTCATGCTGCTGCCAGGTCCAGAGTCTCTCATGGGTCCCTGTACGGCCTCCCATTGCTGCTGTCTCCATCGCCACACTCTGCCATGTGCCACTTTCAGGTCTCCTCACACACTGCTGGTGTGTTCCATTTTTTGTCATAGGGTGCTGACAGATTACGGGCCTCCCATTGCTGCTGCCAGGCCTGTAATCTGCCATGGGCCCCCGTACCGCCTGGTCACGCTGCTGCTGGGTCCACAGTGTGACATGGGTCCCTGTACCGCCTCCCATTGCTCCCACTCTGCCATGTGCCACTTTCAGGTCTCCTCACACTCCTGCTGGTTTCCATTTTGTCATAGGTTGCTGGCAGATTACAGGCCTCCCATAGGTGCTGCCAGGCCCCAAATCTGCCATGGGCCCCCGTACCGCCTCGTCACGCTGCTGCTGGGTCCACAGTGTGACATGGGTCCCTGTACCGCCTCCCATTGCTCCCACTCTGCCATGTGCCACTTTGAGGTCTCCTCACACTCCTGCTGGTTTCCATTTTGTCATAGGTTGCTGTATGGCCTCCCATTGCTGCTGCCTCCACCGCCACACTGTGGCTCCAAACACTGGTTTTGGCCCCGTGACTGGCCAAATGAGTGAAGTGTGCGGTGATTCTAAGATCGACGGCACTCATCTGCATGTCATACTGACTGACAGTATTATTTCTCTTCCCCAGCAGACTCCAAGGGCATTTAAATTAAAGGTACAGTGTTCTGCACTAATATTAAGTCTCTCTGAAGCCTAGAAACACCCTTTTTTAAGTTAAATTCACAGCGAATATATTCGACTCGAATCGAATATTGTCCACGAATTCGCCGAATCAGTCGAATCGAATTTTTGAATACTTCGCTCATCTCTAGTTACTAATATCAATTAAAGACATTGGTATTAGCAACCATAATATGTAAAAAAAAAGAAAAAAAATCCTGATCACTTGCCCAGAGTAATTCAATGTTACTATGGTACTATGTGTTGAAAAAAATAGTAAAAAAAAGAAAAAATGTAATAAAAATAAAAAAATTAATTTATTATTATTTAAATTTTTTTACATACTGTCATCAGTTAGTGTCCCTGATCACTGCCACGCTAGTTTTATAATAACACTCTACTAGACTGGTGACAATATGTAAAAAAAAAAATTGTGATTTTGTTCTTTTTAAATTCTACATTTTCTAAAAAATTGTAACAAAAAATTACAACCTCCAAAAAACTCACCATGCCTCTTAGTAAATAACTTGGGTTGTTTATTTACCAAAAATGGTTTATTTGGGGGATATTTGTTCTGTCCTGGCATTGTCAGGCCTCAAGAAATGAGATGGGCCATCACTACATCAGGATTGATCGATTGCCAGATATATATACCATGGTTTTTGGACTCTACTTTCCTACAGACTAAATAATATACATTAATTTGGGGTATTTTCACCAAAGAAATGTAGCAGAATACATGTTGACCTAAATTTATGAAGAAATGTTATTTATTTGCAAAATTTTATAACAGAAGCGCAGAAAATGTGTTTTTAGTTTTTTTTGTTTATTTAGCAAAAAATAAAAAACTCAGTGGTGATTAAATACCACCAAAAGAAAGCTCTATTTGTGTGAAAAAAAAGTTATAAAATGTTTTTATGGATACAGTGTTGCATGACTGCACAATTGTCATTCAATTGGCGACGACACTGAAAGTTGAAAATTGGCTTGGTCAGGGAGGAGGTAAAAGTGCTTGGTATTGAAGTGGTTAAATACAGCTTTTAATACTTTGTGAATATTCCTCAAGGGAGCTAACAGGATCGATTTTTCTTTATCCCCTCAGAGACCCCCGGTCTATGGAGAGATTCCTGGCTTATCAGCAGAATTCTGGGAACACCTTATGAACATGGAATAACAGCAGGCAGCTTATGTTCAGAGATGTTCAAAGTTTATTAGACATTACTAAAGTTATATAGGATACAGAAAAATTAAGGGGGGGGGGGGGGCGAGTTTCAAGACTGTAACTTGTAAGTTTCCATCATGAGCTAACTACATGAAACATGACATACACGTTTCTTGGTATAAACTGTTTTTACTAGCTTTCTTAGAATCAGCTGGACACAGAAAGCTTCAGGGTCATCTTATCATTGTTTATACATTCTTGTGCAAGCTGGAACAGTTTCATTAAACTTCCTATATATCTGCAAAAAGCTAACTTAATACTTAAAATGGCGTACATCAACAAAATGGAGGTTATTTAGATCCTTTCAGTATCCACTGGTATATGAATATAGGTTCTACTTGGTTTGTATGGGATTGTATATTATATCATGTTTGGGATGTATATTATATCACATTGGCAAGAAGAAGCATACTTCTGTTTTTATTAAAGAAGCAGAAACAAATAGTCACACTGAAAGTGAAAGTCACTAGAATCAGTTAATTCATAATAACTGTGATGCTTCTCCACCTCTTGCAATCTTTCAGAGGGTATAGTTCCTCCAAGCATGATGACGTCTCAGGAACTTCATCATGCTGGACTTCCTCAGGGATTGAACATATAGTACAGACTGCAGGCTTTAGCGTGACAGTCAGCAAAGGTCCATGAGAAGATGGCACCATGTGGTACTGGTTCTGGCCCATTAGAAATTGTTCGAGAGCATTACTAGCTTTTAGAAAAGAGGGAGGAGAAGCTGGTCAATTTAATTAACATTGTATACAATGCAAGAAGAAAGGATGGAAGGAGGGAACTGATGTTTCTTCTCATAGTCTGCATGCTACTGCACAGGGGATTACTAGATTATACAAAAATAGATTTGGGTATTTACAATAATAGCATTTAAAAATTAATGTAATTATTTTTATTGAGCACTTAACTGTATTAAATGGTATATTTTTATATCTGCCTGAAATTCGGCTTAAAATATATAATTATAGTTATCATGTAATTGGCCAATTATGCTCAAAAAAGAAATTAAGCATAAAGGTAATATGTATTCATAGAACATGTCAGCTAGAAGTTTACTTTTACAGAGATTGATGGTTGATCTAAACAAAACCTTGGCCTAAATGAATGAGCTAATACAATATTTGGAAACATATTTCATAAAATGTACAAAACTAAAAATAATTTAGGCTTGATTTTTAAATATCCAAAAAGTTGCTCCTGGAAATAAAATAGATTTTTGTTTTTACTTTAAAAGTGGACTAATCTATATATTATTATTTTTATTATTATTCAGGATTTATATAGCACCAACAGTTTATGAAGCACAATAAAATGTAATACAATAGGAATCAGAGGGCCTTGTTCTTTAGAGCTTACAATCTAAGAGGGAGGGTCAAGAGATACAAAAGGTAATAACTTTGGGGGATGGGCTGATGGAGAAAATACATGTACAGTTGTTAGGTAATGGCAGGATAGGCCTCACTGAAGAGATGATTTTTCAGGGATTGTCTAAAAGTGGACGGAGTAGGAAATAGTTGGACAGATTGGGGTTGGGAATTCCAGAGGATGGGAGAGGCTCTGCAGAAGTCCTGGAGATGAGCAGGGGTGACAAGGGAGCTAGAGAGCAGGAGGTCTTGGGAGGAATGTAGAGAATGATTTGGTTGGTATTTTAAGACTAGGCTAATGATGTAGCTGGGGGCTGAGTTAAGGATAGCTTTGTAAGTTGTTGTTAGTGTCTTGAATTGAATTCATTGAGTGAGCGGAAGCCAGTGGAGGGATCAAAAGAGAGGGACAGCTGACACTGAGCAGTTGGGGAGGTGAATGAGTCTGGTGGCAGCATTCATGATGGACTGAAGAGGGGGTACCCTATGTAAAGGTAAGCCAGTTATGAGGGAATTGCAGTAGTCAAGGCGGGAGATGAACAGGGAGTGAAATAAAAGGTTTGTGGTGTCATTGGTTAGGAAGGGGCGTATCTTAAAGATACTGCTGAGGTTGAGGTGACAAGCTTTGTGATTAGATGTGGGGCCGAAAGGATAGTTTAGAGTCCAGGATTGCACCTAGCAGCCTGGCATGTGGGGACGGCTTGATAGTTGAGCCGTTGAGTATGATGAAAAAGTCAGGGGAATGGGGCATGTGGGGGAGGAAATATTATGAGCTCAGTTTTGTATAGATTGATTTTCTGGAAGTGGTGTGACATCTAGACTGATATGTCTGTTAGTAGATTAGTGACTGATGGAGTGAGCTGAGGGGTAGAGAGATAGATTTGGGTGATATCATCATAGAAATGGTATTGAAAGCCATGAGAAGCAATCAAATAACCCAGGGAGGAGGTGTAGATCAAGAATAGGAAAGGTCTGAGAACAGAACCTTGGGGACCCCAACAGAAAAAGAAAGAGGAAAAGTGGAAATATAATTGTAAGTGACACTGAAGATGGAGTGGGATAGGTAGGATGAGAACCAGAGAAGAGTCCAGTAGCAAAAACCAAAGGAGTAGAATTTTTTGAGAAGGGAGTTGTCCACTGTACCAAAAGCAGCAGAGAGGTCCAGGAGTTGGAGTACAGAAGAGTGTCCATTGGTTGACCATGTCATCTACATGGGTGTTTTTCATAGGGGTGTAATAAAAAGTAGGGATGAGGTTTTGATTGACTGCTACCAAGGGTTTGCAGCTAATCCTGCACAGTCCAGTGTATTCATGTCTAAATTCAACAGAGCAAATTTTTTTAAACCAGAATACACTGCATTTCTTTGGAATCATGACCAGTAGGCTTAGAAGAGCCAATAAAGGGGCATTTGGATAAGGGGGTGGGCATAGAGAAGTCATAGCAAAGTGCATTGGAAGCAGCTGTAGGGAAAGGATAGGAAAGCTGGAAGACTGCACAAGGAGAAATTGGGGTCAGTCAGCAAACAGTATTTTAATTCTGTATGAAAACTTCTTTATTAACCGCTTCCTGACTGCCCTGTAGCAGAACTACTGCTACAGAGTGGCAGGGCTATGCAAAATCACATATATATACATGATTTTGCATTTCTGGGTAGGCAGCTTCAGCTGTCGATCACCGTGTCCTGGCCAGTGATTCCCCACAGGCACCCGGGGATCGCTGAGTATCACTGACGGGGGAGAGGTCTGTATGTAAACAATACACATCTCTCCCGTGTGAGCTTCAGAATGCTGGGCAGCGTGCTTACACAGTAAAACGCACACCGTTAACTCTTTGATCGCCCAAGATGTTAACCCCTTCCTGCCCAGTGCCATTAGTACAGTGTCAGTGCTTTTTATTAGCACTGATCACTGTATTGGTGTCACTGGGGTTGTCAGTGACAGTTAGCAAAGACATGTAGCAGAATACATTTTAGCCTAAATTTATGACAAAATTTGATTATTTTTTTTTTTTTTTTTACTGAATATGTTCTATAGCAAAAAGTAAAAAATATTGTTTTTATTTTCAAATTTGCCAGTCGTCTTTTTTCATTTATAAAATGCAAAAAATAAAAATGCACAGGAGATCAAATACCACCAAAAGAAAGCTTCATTTGTGGGAAAAAAAGGGCATACATTTCATTTGGGTGCAGTGTTGCATGACCGTGCAATAGTCAGTTAAAGTAACGCAGCGCCGTATTGCAAGAAATGGCCTGGTCAGGAAGGGGGGTAAATCTTCTGGAGGGCAAGTGGTTAATCATCCCTTTTACCAACCTTTTGTTTTTAATAATGTATTTTTTTGTGTGTAATTTTATTTTGTGGTTGTTTTGAGGTTGCTTTGAGGCTAATGATCACTAGCTGCTGTCCTGTCCATAACTTTTTTGCACCTCAGACT